AACTATAATAATAATTAAAATTAATAAATAATAACAGCAACAATAACAGTGCTTTTATATGAACATGATGTAATAATCATTTTAGTATTAAGCTAGCCCTTAAATGAAAAGTTCCTTGTTTCATTTGTATTCAAACCTCCAACCTTTTGCTATCAAGGCAAGTATCATACCATTAGTACTATGGAGAACTATTCGGTATATGCATAGCTCTAACCCCCAGGTACAGCACTTTCCTACAACTGACTAAAACGCTCGCACATAGTTGCGATATGGTTCAGCTACAAAAGCTTGTACGTCACATCATTGTAAATAAACGGCCTTTTGTTTATTGCACTATGCAGCTAACCTAATTCGAATATTTATATCGTCGCTCGCATCACAAACTAACACTATCAAAGTACATTGTGTTTGTTGGTGAAAACAAAAAAGCACATCAAAATAAGCACACATTGGTTGTCAAACAATATTGTGTTCCTTACAGAAAAATATTTCTGGGTTGAATTTCTTAGTTATTCCATGGAGGTAAAAATGTGGTTTTTTTTCCAAGGTGGTTAATATTTAATTCTTGATGATATTATCGGTGTGTGGTGGTTTTTCAAAGTGAGGCGTAAAAGTGTAGAGTTTTGGTTTACAGTAGAAGGAATGATAGTAAAATGTATTTATGTACTATACACCTGATTGAGGTTGCTTGTACTTTTCCAAGATAAGTTGACACCTCTTACAATGCGTGTGTGTGTGCAACAGAATCATAATACACTTGAGTTTGCCAGGTAAATGTGGAGATTAATTAGCAGAAGAAAACGCTAAGTGTCAGCTGCAACGTAGCAGGTTGTAAGTAATGGAAACATGAAGCATCGTTTTAGGTGCACTGGTTGACTATGACAGAGTACAATGTCCATGCGTCTACCTTCTCCATATTATAAATTGATCAAGCCAACTTGTTTAGGTTGCTGATTTGTAAAGTGAACCATTTTCATATTTAAGGTGAGAACTGGTTCTATGTTTAGAAATATGTAAGTCACATTTTTTAAAATTTTCCAAGGTTCAGATTAATGTGATGATATTACGAAACATTGCACCATTCTTTTGTATGAAAGATCAAGGTCTTCTTTGTTTCCATGTTATCATTTTTGTGTCAATTTTGTTTCTCTTCCATTTCGTAATTGTTTGAATAAGTGTTATTGAAACAATGTAGGTATGGAGATAACATTCACATTAACTGTATGAATATATTTAAAAAGATCAAAGTTCTACCATGCGATTATCAAGACTTGCATGTGATTAAATAATAATGTATACATTATATTTCCTCAAATATAGGAGAAGGACAAAAAGCACATTAGGGACAAGTTTTCTGTACAGAGTTTTTGACACTCCTGAAATTCATGTGCCTATAAATCTGTGCAAATACTTTATACCATCAAAGATTATTGTTGCCATTATATCTATTTTATTGCATATTATATATTTTATTTTTTTTTGGTAAATCCTGAAAATTCTTGAGGCAATATTTACTTACACCTGACATATTATTTGGAGTAAAAGCATTTGGTGCAAAAGTTGTGACTTGGACTCTTAACCTTGAGGTTGTTGGTTCAAAACCTTTACTAAGTCGCTTGTGTCTTTATAGGCAAGACACTATCTACATTTGTCTCTCTCTCTACAAAATTAAATCTCTTCTCAGTTGTATAATTCAAACAGGACCATTTTTGAAAACAGACTATTACATCTTATCTGAAATTGTATCCTGTATAAATATCTTGAAATACCCCAGAGTTTAAAGGGGTACTGGCATATTCTGGGATGGTAAAACAGACTGCTGTGTGGGAATGATGATGAACTCCTCACAGCCTTCACAGTCTGGTCCAAATGAAATAGAGACGGGCAATCTGGCCTGAGCCCAGAGCTTCAGGTTTCGACCTTTAACTTGTTATATTGAATGTGGCAATGTTGTAGCTATAACAAAACTTTTTCGTATTTTAATTTTTAAAAATGCTGGTGGCCAACTGGTAGGCACGTATTAACAACTATACAGAAATACTTTACACTGTATGCTTTAAATATAACTCAAGGACATTCAATGTAACAGACACAAAACAATCAGATATTGATTAATGGATCCATAAGTATTGACAGTCATGTTACCTTGACTAATTGCTTAGGATGCTGGTTAGAATAATGCAACAAATGAAATAGGTTAAAAAAATAACAATTATTTTATTGATAGTAGAAACAGTAGCAAACAAGATAATCTGAGATTACAAACCCTTGCCCTGTTGCACCATATTTATGTACAGGAAAAATAATGACCTAATGGTGATTCGCTTGAGTCGGCTCGGCCTATCCAAACGAGGCCTATACTGTAGCATCATATGCCTCGCATGGCAAGCCCATCTATTGGTGAGTTTGGGGGACTGCTGCTAGTCTAAATCTAAATATAGAAATTATATAGCGCCTTTTGCCAAAGGATACAAAGCACTTAGAGATGTCACTGGACAAGGAACTCGATTAATGACTTTCTTTTCTCTTCGTGTCTTGCTACTTGGTAATCCAGCGTAACTCTTGTTGCCCCCACAGGGGCCGTCTGTACCAGTACACCGGGGTATTCCCCTACTCGTCTAGAATGATGTACTGTGCTTTTTAGAGTGTACTCAAGCCAAAGTGTACACTGGGCCTACGGTTTATAGTCTTACATAGCTGTATACAATACATTTTCATATAAGTTATGATAGTTAAAATTTTTAGTTAAATAATAGGGCTAAAATTATATTATTCATTAATAATGAAGTGCAAATGTTTCTATACAGAGTTTCTCAAATTTTAACATTGTAATGGATCATACAATATGTTTTTCTTATTTTGTGTTTTGTCTTTTCCAGTTAAACTCCTGTGGATATGATGTGATAGTTGGCTATATGGTGACTATATTCTATTTTCTGGAACTTATTTGTTAGTTGGCAGTTGTCAAGAGCAGAAAACTTTACAAAAATGGTAATCGTAAATGATTTTTTGTCGAAATTTTTGATTTTCATATTTACTGCATCTATAGTTACTGCACTTAAATACCTGGCTCCTGAAATTGGTGAAGAAAGCAGGACTTTCGCTCGCTATCAAAAATGGGATGCTAGTACAACCGGCGCATTGACGTTAGAATTCAAGACTTCTGAACCATCAGGGCTTCTAGTGTATCTAGATGATGGCGGTTATCAAGACTATCTTGCTTTACAGTTAGATAAAGGGTGTGTCGTGCTAAGTTACAAACTTGCGATGTTTGAAGTCGACTTGAAATTAGGCGAAAATCTTAACAACAGCAGTTGGCATACGGTGACAGTTTTCCGCAATTTTTCAAGTTTTACATTTGTTGTTGATAACCTTAAGGAAAAACGGGTAGCCTCTGGAAATGATAATATTCTTAGCACAAAAACAGACTTATTTGTTGGTGGCTTGCCTCCAACATTTATGAAAGAAGATTTAACGGCTGAGGGAATATTTGACAAAAGGCGTTTTGTGGGGAAAATTCGCAACATCTTCTATCAGAATGATACAACAAATCGATGGGTGACGCCAAAAAAGTTGGATTCTTATGGAGTGGAGGAATCGGGTTCTGACCGATGCAGTACTTACAACCCATGTGTTAATGGTGGACGCTGCATTAGTTTTGACCGTGAAAGTGTCTGCAACTGCTCACAAACCAGATATCTAGGAGAAAGGTGTAATGAAGGTAATGCTATGTACACACTATCAAATTTTCTTTGACAAAAAACTGTTGAATGCCCATATATAGTCATGATGTGCCTATATATAGTCATGATATGCCCATATATAGTCATAATGATGTCATCATGACCAAATTTAGGCATGTCACATGTTTTTGTCCAATAAAATTTGATAGTCTGCATACGACTTAATACAATCTTTGTTTGTCAACCATAAACATTTCTTTACAATTTTTTTTTCATTCCTAGATAATTCTTTTGTATTTTAATAGGTTTATTTGATGGTGGTGATTCTATCTTCCACACTTAGTCACACTCAACACCTTTCACAATATTCTTCTCTTTTGATTAGTGTTTCCTTCCATTTTTTTAGAGTCCTATTATTTTGCAGGAATATAAATTGTGCACAACATTGAATAAAGGGTGCTGGAACACGCTTTGGTTTTTAAAGATGATACTAATAATATAAGTACCAGTTTATGTATTATTTTATCATGAAGTACATTTACTTTCTAGTAACACACGTTTTATAATTCAATTTAAATCTGTAATGTTGATCAAAGAATTTTGGTTGATGGATAAACTTGGAAAGTTGTTATCATTGTGTCCCTCAAAACACTTTACCAATGTTACCATTATCGTAGTACAGTGTAAACATATTTGGTTCATCAGAACATATTTAAAATGCAACCCAGTAATTTGTGATTACGATACAATACTTGGTCGGCCATTTTGAATTCCTCATTTGCATAATTTATGCAAAAACTTCATTTTTCGTCGAATTGAATATCAAGTTTCATAATAAAAATAAATTTGAGTCATACACCAGTTGTTAAAAGAATTTCATTGTAATTAGCTGTCTACTACCTTGAAATAAAGTAATGTAAATCGTACTTCGTGTATGCTACAGTACATCGAAATACTCGAGTTTCCACAGAGCTGTATTTAAAACTTTAAAAGTTAATTGATAATTGTGTCATTGAAACGTTGCTTAGCGCGTTAAGATTGTTTGAATCTACGGCAGCCATCTTGTATGGTACTGTATACACACACACAGCTCTGCGTATTTCGAACACACTGGATTTAGCACTCTTGTATTCTTACAGTATATCTGTATGCCAATGACACAATGCTGCTGTGGATTAGAATTGAAAAAATGATAAACACTTTCGCTTCATAGGTTTGAGAAAAATATTATATACATTTGATGTTGCTGTGTAACCTAAAAGAGGTTATTTAACCTGCTTGGGCATTCTAGAAATTTAAACCTGCATGCATTATGATGTACTGTAGAATTATGTATGAAAAAGTCATACAGTAGTTTATGCATTTAATCATTATGAATGATCCCATTTAATGCAATCCTAGCTGGAAAGTTTGTTGTAAGAATTATTGAGTTGATGTTTAGGATTGAAATTTCATGCTGTAGGTACTAAACCATGATTCTCCACTGAAAAATATAATTAATTATAGCATGATAATATAATTACTGAAAATTGAACATGCTTGTGGTGATAATTGTCTTAAATGATTTAAATCTAATTGCCTAGCCAAGATTAGCTATTTGCAGTTGTCCAATTCCGAATCTTTTTATTTATGGTAGATTATGTTGAAGGAGAAACATAACCTTTATAGTTTGTATATACCCAATAATCAACCTGAAAATGTGATGCATTAAACATAAAACAATACTTACTATATAAGAAATAAAGTAGATGTTTAGTGTAATTCTGTAAATTATTATGAGGTAGGAGTAGAGGGGTTATACATCTGCTGTAGGCCCTTTATAGGGTACTTGCTATTCATCTGTCAGTTATCCAATGTATATTAATTCTACACTTATATTTAACAGGCAAATATGAAGACGTAATGCTGTAAAATTAAAAAATAAAAGTACCTTAGTATAATATTAAACATATACAGTCCAAAAATTAGAATTATGGTTATAAATTAGTACAATATATTATGCAAAAAAAAAAATGCATAAAACAATTTATAGCCCTTCTATCATATTCAGAGTCAGGCAGACACAAATGTGAAGAATTCAAAACTACATTTATTGATTCTTGTACTCCTTACATAAACCAGTAAAATATTTGTTGAAAACTAATTCACCATTGAATATTGTATTATTAATAATTTCCTACCTGTTCATACATATTCAGAAATATGTTTTGATTAAGTTAGCAAATTAATCTGAATGACAAATCTATACAAATTTTCATCTACAGTACTTGCAAATTCCAATGTTTTTTTCCGCATAAAAATCAACGTGATTGTACAGACTTTGCAATCGAGTGAAGATATTTTTTCCATTTATCATCATTTACATTCTAGGCCAAGGCCTAGTTAAGTCTAAAATATCGAAGTGTATTGAATTTAATTTTTAATCATCACAAATTTGGAACTATAGTTTCAAATTGCACATTTACCTCTATTTCTTAACTTCTGACCTACATTTACTTAATACTTTTTCTTTTACTACTGTAGAAACTTCCCACCATTGCATCAGTCACATTGAACAACATATATTTTGAACACAGAAAACAAGAAAATGGCTTTCAAAATGTTCAGTCATACATATTTATTATTGTATTTGTATTTGTATTTTATTCAAACATCCAACAGTGTAAACACGAATTACCAGATGAACATAAATATATAAGAAAATGATTGGATCAACGACATGTCACAACTAAATTCACCAGTCAAGGCAATCCTGTTTTGTATATTTACTTAATGGTGATGAGTATTTATTCAATCTATAACAAAGCATAATTTACTTAACAGCGCCCTCTATATCTTGGCGAATGTTACTATGGTTATAAGGATGGCGTCTGCCTGTAACGCTGACAGTGACGATAAGCCTTATGACATAACTCAGATCCACGTTACTATAATTTACTTGTTACTAATGTATAACGTAATATCATAACGTACTATTATGCATATCATTCCTCAAATAAATCATGTACCATTTATTCAACAAACAACTATTTAATGATTAGCAGCCCAATAAATAGCTGCTTCGCACATCCCTACTCATTGGGCTCACATAAAGCCCTATCTCCTCCTGGTACCCGCTAATGCAGTGCGGTAAGCTTATCTTCTCCAATGCTCTACTCTAATACATCATAGGTAAAACTAGCAACATAATTACTATATCATAAATTAAACTTACTTCTTGGCAGGAATGCCCTAATTTAGTGAATTACAGTAACTTCTGGAAGTCTCTAATTACCCAAACAATATAATTACTTTTCTCCATAACACATTGTTCGTCGCTCTGCAGGTTAGCTTACTAAATCCAAAATGTCAAAGGTTATCTAATCTACATGTAAAAATAGTTTCAACAAAACAATGATAGATATTAATTGTAATGTTTGTAATCATAAGCTTGCGATCAAATTTGTTTCAAAATTCATATTAATAAGTCTGAATAATGAATGACTATTTAGCCTGCCACTGTACACAATGTTGAATTAAAGCTTTTTCTGAGAAACTTCAAAGCCCTGTATCATTGTAATATTTTAATACTAATGATCAGTAGAACTCGGCTACATGTCAGTTATTTTCAAATGTCCACATTGATTTGCCTCAATAGAATTACGCAAGAAGCATCTAAATTTCAGTTTATTATCAGCTGCAATAGAAATGACTATTCCACCTCAGGCAGTCTTAAATGTTTTTACTTTAATTGTTGCCACTTCCAATATACTTATTTTCATTTAGCGTGGTGGTATAATCTAAGCTAGCTGTCCCAGTTTCTTACGTGATGTTCCTCGCACAGCAGAGGTGATCTTAGTGCTAATTTACCGCACAGCGGACTAATAAATTGACCTTTTTAAAGCCCACTGGGCACATACAGAGCTGTATGTTATTTAACCCTGACTATTGCATATATGTACTCATCTCAGTACAGTTGGCAAGGTCAGAAATTATTTGAAGTAGAATGGATTTATGTGACAGAAATAGAGAGTGTGGTGCTGCTTAGCAGTACCACCAATTATCTAAAGCAGTAGTAATCATAACAAGTGTATTGTACATTTGACTAGCGAACAAAATTACCTAGCATTTGTTTGCACGTGCCTTGCCAATTATTCCTATAGGACAATGTACTATATTTATTATAATAACTTACATAGCGCATTTTCAATTAAAAAACTGTTCAAGGCATTATACAAAATTAACCAAGTGGTCCACTGATTATTTAGGTAATAATATAAGATCATGCAGACTCCAAAAAGACTAAGAGAACCCATAGTGATTTGATATTTCGTTCCTTATTCATTTTAAAAATCATTATTTATTATTATTATTATTAATAATAATGATAATTTTGTCCATTGGGACCATATATGAGGAATGAGGTAACTTAACTAACCAATTAAAAGAGAGAAACTTCAAATAGCCATGTCAAATTTTAATACATTGGAAGTAATATAGTATATACAAAAGATCATAAATCACAGTCTACATGTAGGTCTACCTCCAATTAAAGACCACTTATGGAACATGGGTTTTCTGGTCTTTAGCATATTAGGTGTCTAATTAGAAAAATAATTAACATAAAAGTGAAGGATAAGTGCTCATCCAGGGCCTCAGAAAAGTGGTCTGTAATTGGAGGGATCTTATTTGGAGGGGTCATTAATCAGGGAGACCTGTAATTTCTGTTATGTATTTAGATGCATGGGCCAAGGATTGGCAATAGAGTATCATTACAATCATGTTACCTGATTGGATTTGAACCCAGTCTCCTGGGATTGGATTAAGCATCCTAAACCCAGTATTGTTGCATATTTGTTTTGATTTTCAATGTAACCCTTAACAACTTCTGTTTAGGATTTTGAATATAAAAAATAAATCCACTTAAGATTACAGTGTCATGAATTAAATAAGACAGAATTTGTAGAAGTCTGTCATTTTGCATTGGGCGAGATTTTTTGCTATCTTGTTTAACAAACCAGTTACCCGCTAATAATGGTAACTTTGAAAAAAAATAAATTGCCTTTTATCTGAAATATATAATGCTTTTTAGGTAGCTGTATCATCATCATGGCTTGCGTCATGGAACAAGTGATAGCCTAAGAACACACCTATCTATAGCAGCACTGATCCTACAATTCCCATGCACTCTAATTATTAGGCCTAAGATTAATTGAATTGAACTAACACTTAGCTGGAAATACATTTCAAATTAAATTGACGAAAGAACTGAAAGGCTTGACATGCCTACAGCATCACCTTTCACCCTCACAACCCATCTGACGTCATCCATCTTATCAGATTAACCAAATCAAATTTATATCATAAACAACTTGTAGTGGACTAATCATGACAAAAATTTATGCCACATATTTTTTCTAATAACCTGTGGAAATTTAATAACCAAATTTTTTATATTATCTATTATACAATGATGGTAGTTTAGTATAAGCACAAATTTAAATTATTCATATTTCATTTCTGGGTAACCCTACTTTACTTTAACATAAATTGGTTGGATATTTATTATATTGCAACAAAGTTGATGTACTGTACTGCTGTAAAATTATCGCACAGAAAAATGAAAGGATTCCAAATAGTAAAAATGCTATAGTTTCAACCTGTGTGTAGCATATAAATTGAATGTTTTAGTTTTTCCAAATTCTTCTATAGATGGAAGCAAACAAGCCTTGAATTATTGAATTTTAAAAAGTCATAGCATGTGTTTTAAGAAAACATTTGAACGATAATGACGTGATCTGACACTTTTATTATCTGTAATGAAAACATACATTATTCTGATTTCTGACACGATATAAAGGTTTCTATCTTAAGAGGTTTTGAATACTGCTAGTCAAAATGAAATGATATAGAAGCAATAAACCTAAAAATTTGTACAGGAATTTTAGACAAACATTACAACATTTCTTGTGCAGTTTGTACGTTCATATTGGGTTACATCCCGGTAGCAATGTAAATGTACATTGATTTGTGTTTCTTCAGTGATGAAGACATTTTAGATATGACAGTATTGGCTTTATTCAATTTATTAATAATTATGATTTTCTTAAAATTACCCATGTTTATATGAAATCAATAATAGCCATGTGTTTGTGGTGTCAAAATTATTATGTCTAAATCAATTATCAATTATGGTTTCTTATTATTCTCAATTCTCATCCAAATTGACTCACAAATACAGTAATTGACAGAAGTAAACTCTATTTAACTCTTTAAATTTGAATAGTGCAGTTGTCAGACTCTACAATGCTTATCAATCGCTGTATGTAATGAAGTAGAGAATTTTCCAGATTCAGACATGGAAATATGGAGACCTTGGCCAACATACACCCTCTTCCCCCTTCACATTTTCTTTACTACTTCACTTATTTATTGCTAAACTGAAATATACATTCAAATACATAAAATCAGCTTATTCTTCTATTTACTTTTAATTTTCGCATCAAATTTTTACTTTCAGTTTTTCCATAGTCCTTTTCCATATTCCTGCAATTTCAATACTCCTATGTGTTTATATAAAACAATCAGTGTTTAGTCTTATTTTGAAACTGGCAACCCAGTTTGCAGAACCAATTTATTTTGCCTTAATTACATTATTTTAAAAAATCCTTATTTAAGTTTGTAGTTTTGATATTATTTTATTTCTTAATAGCCTCAAAGGGATGATATATGTGATACACCTCGCCTTGATTACTCTTTCTTCGTATTATTATGATAATATTACTCAATCATCAACACTAACTGAAAATTGGTGAGTGATGCATTGCAGTTGATTACACAAGCACTGGCAAACTGATGGTTTGTCAATAATGCTGTACAATTGCCCCAAAGAAAATTTCATTAGGCCAATGGAATATTTGATTTGTGAACCCATTTTATGATGCGGCTAATGATTTGAAAGCAAACTCCATCAATAGTTGATCACCAAATAGATTGTATGTTGACAAGAATTACTAGTTCAGAATATTTATAGGTTTTTTTTGTAATAATTGATACTGTATTCCTGAAAATATGTTCATAAGGTTAGCATTTTTTATTGCTTTTATATTTTAACTAAATAACTTTCATTTATATATTTGTTGGATAATTGAAAAATTAATTAAAATAATATTAATAATTGAATAATTGATTGAATAAGTATTCAGTTAAATTGAAAATTATCCAAAAGATTGTAACAAAATTATTTAAATTATTCTATGTTAATTACATAAGGTATCATTTCATAATTATTTGATTTTTAAGTTTTAATTTTAACCTGAAGTCATAAGCTAATAAATCAACATCTTTTGCAAGCTGGCCTAAATTGAGTTCACTGCATACTACTCACAACTTGACAAGTTCTCAGTATAATTCTATTACACTTGTGTAGACATTGGCAGATTTAGGGGGTGGGGAGTTTTATAAAAAAATTGGAGAAAAAAAATTAAAATTACGTTCAAATTTAAAGTCTGAGAGTGCCATTGCCTGCCTTTTAGAAGTGACATAATCGTACATTTTCTTACCTCAGCCCTAACCACAGTGGGGTTGAGGTGGTATAGACCCTCCATATGTCAAATTCCCTCCCTAGGCCTGGTTCTATTTCAAATTCCTGGATCCGCCACTGGTAGAAATTGGTTGATTAAACTGAAAAAGGCCAAAGGAGGAGAGTAGTAATAGTATACGACTAAGTTGACATAAATTATTTACTCTACTTATGCTTGTTTTAAAATAGACAAAACAAAGTAAACATGCTTTGTATGTCGGCTTGAATCATCCGTAGTGAATGTTTGTTGTGAAATTTGTGTATTACAAATTATTCGAAAATATAAATAAGTCCAGTAATGAAACACATGCTAGCTAGAGAGACGTCCTACACCTTTGTTGTTAAAATATTAATATAGCTAGTGGTTGTTATCAACATTGTTTATCTGCAAACATGATGTTTATCTAGTATTAGTATTATATTTGATAGATATTATCTAACATTCTATCTGTACCTGTTAGACACTTATATTTAAAATATGAGAGCTGTCTAAATGATAAAATTGTATTTTCCATTGAAATGATGGAATGCATGTCTTTACTCACTACACCCACAATAACAACATTTTCATTTCATGAAAAAAAATAAAACATAGCCGTGTTATTTATATTTGTATACTTGTATATTCAATTGCATAGATTATGAAACATAGTGTACCGGAATTTTTAACAAAACGATGCATGTGAACTAAAAGATACACTGATCCGCTGAAGGTTTTATGTATCATATAACAGAATTATTGAGATTTAAGAAGGCTGAAGAAAATCGTGTTTCAAAAATGAAAACCGTCTTGTCCATATTAATAATATTCAGGAGATTATTGAATATCATACAGTATGTTTGCATCCATTTATGCTAGATGTAAACGGCTTTTGCGCAAATTAATAGAATTCATATGAGACTTTTGTAGGAGATTTGCTAATGGTTCAAGTATAGAAGATTGTGCATAGTAACACTGACATTAAAAATATACAGATGAGTTTTTATTAATATAGAAAAAGAGGAAGAGGAAGATGAATTAACTACTGTAGAATGATTATAGGATTTTCAATGTTTGAAAATAATTTAAAAACATTAAAGCTATGATATTAAATAATGCATGCATACACTACATTATGTTCGTGAATATTTTAGAATGGCCTACGGAGTACTTGTCCCCTTAATTGAGTCTTGTATTTATGTTTGAAATAAAATATTCCTTAAATAGATACAAAAATAAACAAAATAAAAAAAATAAAATAAATAAATGTGTTTTTGAGATAGTATAATCTTTTATTCCAAAAAATGTTAATGGTATTGTTAGCACTGTATGAATATATTGGCAATTTGATAAAGAATCAACCAAATGTGTTTCCAGCACCTTTTATTTCTTGACCATTTTCTATGGAGTTCTTCTGACCTGTATCACACTTTTTCTCTTAATGAAGATGTCAGCACAATAATGATGTCATCGGAAGGTACGGGTAGGTATTTTACTGGTGTCTGTGTTCACACTGCCATTAGATTAACCAGATTAACTTATCCTATGAATTAATCTTTTAATTAAAGCAATAATTCTTTTTAAACACTGTGATATCCACGGTATTAATTTGTTATCCCTTGTGTAACATAAATTGTCGTATTAATCCTTCATTTCTCTAATATGAATGTAGTTAAAATATGAGTGTATTCATAATTTAATTTATATATAAGTTAATTTCTGTGGGATAACAAAAGTTTTGGTTAATAATTGGCGCTGTTCCCGAGAAAATATATTTTTCATCCTATCTAATTTTATGACACACACACACACACACAAAATTGTCCAAATATTTGTCTGTGTGGATTACAATGAATTGTCACGTCACAGACAATGCATGAAATGTCATTAGGCCAATTTTCCTGTTGTGAATTTATGTGCACTAATCGACAGCTTCGATTTATGCACATGCACATCCCAATCTCTATCTGAGTTTTCACTGAAATCGGTAGTTTGAAGTGTGTAAACTTTTGGCAAAGTGAAAAAAGTGCGCAACCGGTCAGAGCTCAAGAACCAACTCGACACCTTTGATTCGTGCGAATAAATTCGCCTAGTGGAAAACAGGTTTTGTAATCTGCAGATTTTCTGGGAACCTCCTCTCTTATTAATTTTGACTTAAAATATCTGTTACAATCTTTTGGCAGTTGAACTCTCGATTGTTTTGTTATGATGGTAGATATCTATCTACCTTTAACTGACTGTATTGTTTAATAATTATTTATTTCAGCAGTGAATTTGGTGATTGTATATATTGGAAATATTAAAAAACAATGAATGAAAATTAATACAAATAAATATTTGGAATTTGATTTACATATATATATCTGAATTAATCAAAATTGTTAAATATAAATCATCAAATTCATTACAAATTTTGTGTTTCTCAATTATTTATCATTCACATCTTGTAGATCTGATGTTATCTTTTTCATTACTAAAGAACTTTTTTATTTCAGTTATTTCATTTGATATTCATTTAAAATGTAATTGTATATTTTTTTTTAATAGTTTTTCTTTGAATTTAATTTCTTTTTATTTTCAGTTATCTATCATAATAATCTTTTAGATATATTCTTTAGTTTTCCAGCATAATTGTTTGTGTACATTTCACCATTATGTTTCTTGTATTTATGATGTAATAATGCTTGAAATTTCCCATCCCATTAATCACTGATAAGCAATATATTTTTCAGTGTTTTGTCATCATTGAAACAATACCATGCATTTTGTATTTGCTGTATTATAATTATAGTTTTCAAGCAGAATTTTAGCATGGAAATGTGAATGATGTTGATTGTCATTTGTACTTGTGTATTAAAGTTTCTTGTAACTGATGTTAGATATTACATATTTTTATACCTAAACTAATAAATGCAATCATTCTGGATGTGAATCACAATCTGCAATGGAAGATTTGATCAAAAATGATTGCGTTATTAATATTCAATCCACTACACAGCAGACATTTTGTTCAGTGATATGTCATGTATTCATTCTCTTCTCCTTTTAGCTGAAAAGAAAATGGATTTCTGATCCTGTAATATCCATTATAACGAGAATTTGTGATATAAAACTATATGAGTTTTGCTAGAGAACAAAAATGCCCCACATCCAATTTAGCCAAATACAAATTGAAAGTATGCAATTTGAGCAGACATAATCAAACTTTTTGTCAAGTCCATGCTTAGGAGGAAAAATGGGATGTATATACATAGTAGCTGCAGAATTCTAGGCTACTAGAATGATATCAATGCATTTATGGTATTTTTTTTGGTTACTGTATCATTAGCATCCACATCATTAGTGTCTTTGTTAACAATAATGTAATTAAGTAGAGGCACCATCACTGTAGACTGGACATCGACTTTAATCTGTTATGCTGTAAAAGTTGACAGTGAATTGAACATAGCATACATATGTTAATCGAAATCAAACTCATCCCTTAAGATTTAATTCTTGATTATAGCCATACATATATATTTTTCAGCACCACAATTTATTGTCTTTCATGGTGTTCCATATAACATTATGACCTAATATAATGACTTGCAAGACATAATTTGAATTATTAATGTATTACATGTTTTTTTCCACTCATGTATGTATACATTTCATCGTGATGTGAATATAAACACGGACGATAATCTGAATTGGGAATTATCTACGTGGTTGTTGTAAAATGATAATCAGATGATTTCAGTTTATTTGAAAACAGTATTTTTAAAAATGTTCACCATTCTTTTACAAATTATTATTAATGCTTGCTCCTATTGCAGCAAATTCAAATTTTCATAGGCTGTTTCTGTGATTACTAATATTAATCAGTATTTAGATAATTATAAAATCAGTGGTTTTCCATGCCACCTTCTTGCACAAACTAACAAACATTAGGTTGAAATAAGTAAAACAAAAAGGTAAAAGAGGAAAGGCAGTTAGCTAATGAAAAAGCATTGACATTTTCTTCCCTACACTAAACCTACTTTTTTTCATATTTGTATTATACTGTAATTCTGTAATGTTCAGAAGGGATGACACATTAGTACTGTAATTCCAACAGAGGGCAGTGTTTGCTTTTGTCAGAATATTTTCACTTTGAAATATTTTGTAAGATATTTCAATTTGTATTTATTCAAATAAATACCCCGGGGCATTTGTTGTTGAGAAGGGTTTTTGAGGGAGGCATTTATTTGAGTAAGGCGTTTATTTTGTTTGGTGTAAAAGGGATACATACAGTATATACACATCTTAATTTCACTGTAAATTTGGAACTACAGCACATATTTACCATCAAAATGTGTTAATGTGTGATCATAAAGATTTAATGATCCCAACCAGGTTAAAAAAAATTAAATTCTACTGGAGCAGAACATTAATAGAATATGTTGAGATTGACGTTGATTCCATTAGATTTGTTAAGTCATTGAGGGGGCGTTTATTAAAGGAAAATAATTAACACCTTGGGGCCTTTATTCAAAGGAGGCGTTAATTCCAAATGAGGGGGAGTTAGTTGAGGGGGAGTTTATTCAAAGATGGGTGTTTAAATATTTAATTAATTAATTAATATGGTATATTACCAACTTACACCCAAGAAATTATGTAGCTGTTCTTCCTAGATATAAGTTTCAAATTAAAAAAAATTTGGTTGTAATCATATTGTAGCCACAACTCAAAACTACTTCTTATATTAGATTACATTTAATCAGGATTGAACCTAGGTCATTTAGATATGAAAGGGGGAATATCATCTACTTTCCACAGCTTTGCTCTGTGTTCCCTGTGTATAAATACCATAACATCTTGAACAAGAATCCTGGTGGGTTTAATTTCAAAATGAACCATGTAAAAAAACCCTCCCTCTTTTCTTTGCAAAAGTAATCCCGAAAAGAAGCCAGTAGGCTTTTAATCAAGATTGTATGGACTTCCTTTTACATATAGGCCTATATAGATTGTAGGTCTATCATCTATACAAATCTTTTTTACTAGCTTGGTGCATTAATACTCCATACTAATAAGAGTACATTACTTAAATTATCTGATTAAGAACAATTCTTAAGAGGAACACATTTTCAAATAATAGATATGTTGCCACATAATAAGCACTTCCTAAATTTTCAAATGTACCCCTTTTGAATAAGCACTCTGTTCAAAAGTGCTCCCTCAAAGACTCTTACCATCTAGTAAATTCCCAGCACTTATACCTACAGGTATAGTATATATACATGAAGTATATTCATGTTTATCTATGTTGGAAATATTTATTTTATATCCTTTAGTAAGTAATAATATTCTAATATGAAAAAGCCTTATAATTGTTAGTATTTATGCATTGACCTTTGACATAAACATGCACACTTGAAACTATGAAGTTGAATAGTGTATGCCATGAAATATATTTAAAATAATAATAATAATAATAATAATAATAATATAAAATAATAATAATAAAGTTATTCTCAGAGTGCTGCCTCAACATTACCTGTTATCAATTTTTTTTAATGAAATGGATATCTATTGGTTTGTACGTGATTGTTTCCAATTGTTCGTGAATGTTCCAGGCCTACTTAGCACATAAATTGAGAATATTTAATTAATATACTAATATGATTCACCTGTTTCTGGTTGAGATCTCGGAAGACTCCCCCCATCCCTTTCCTCGCTTCTTTGGTTGGGCATTTCATTTCATAACAATCATCGAATAGGTGAAAGTGCAAAAGGGTTGCAATGTTAATTAATAAATCCTAGACGGTCTGAAAGCTCCTGCGTACGGCTGACAGTTCCCTCGTTGATTGGTGTCACTAATTGATTTCCCCATGGACACTGGGATAGTGAGATGTACGCTATAGTGATTCATGTATCAATAGCGATAATTGCCGTCTCTCTGGATGAACACAGGTGTCATAGACCTGTCATTGTTCTTTCACATGTAATATCATCACCTCGGGTATTCATATCTAATGTCGACTCATATACAATGGTAAATAGCCATGGACATTTTTCTTCCAGAATTCATAAATATATTAAATACCAACATTTATCTTTTATTTTATATTATTTTTATGTTCTACCTTTATTTTTTTGTTTTTATTTTTTAAATAATTAATTATTCCAATTATTTTTTAGCACAAGAAATCCGATATTTAAAAATGGTTAAGGATTTAATCAATTAGATATAGGCGTACTGTAGTATTTTTAGTTTATTGTGTACTGTTACAAGAAATGAGTAGGACTTTCGTAGAAAGATGAATATGAATTTGTAATGAAATTTTAGCCTAAAAAATTTTATTTTATTTATTTATTTATTACACTTCATCACTGCAAAAATACAAGAACAATTCAAAAACAAGACAAAAAGTGTATTGAAATTAATTTGCTTAATTTTTGAAGGCTAAATGAAATATCTAGTTTTTTATGAAATTTTAATTTACCTAGATTTCAATT